ATGTATTTTATTTAAATTAAAATTATATTATTATTTAAAATAATTTGTAAATATATTTTAAAATATTTTAAAGTATAATTTTTAGAAAAAATTAATAATTTTTTATTTTGAATAATTATTTTAAAAATAAAAGAAAATCATTATAATAATAATTTATTAATAAATTACAATAAATTACAAAGAAAGTCAAATCCATTGATTTACCAAAGTATTAAATGCACTGTGATGATGGTCACAGAGAGCGAGAGCATATTTGTTGCCGTGTGTTGGTGTGCGTTTTCAAATTGGATTTCATGTGTAAGATTTTGGATAATAAATTTAATGTCACACAAAAACTTATGAATAAAAACAATTATATAAACTATTTAGTCACATACTACTATATAATCAAATAAGATATCTCAAGCTTGTAAAACATTGTTATAAACTTTGTTATAATAAAACTTAAAATATTGATCCTTATTTATACTAATCATTATAAGTAAAAAAAAATTATCTTATAAGTAAAAAAGATTGTAATAAAAAAATAAAGATAATAATTTTATTCAATTATATCGTAATAAGCAAAACAAAACAATAAAAATCATGTAAAAATAAAACATAATAAAATTTGATCTGAGAGTAAGATCATGCAAATATGGTAAAGTCGTATTAGTATTAAGGATATATAAAGACAAAATAAATAAGGGTAAGAGGGAAATAAAAAAATTAAGGAAAAATGAAAAAAAATCATTTATCATTTTACAGTATGATAGAAAAAATAAATAGCTATTAATACTCACCAACTTATAACTTTAAAAAATTTAATGATTTATAGAAACATAAATTGGCTAAAAACGTTAAATAGTTCTGTTGAAGGTAAAGAAACATAAATTTATAGAATAACATTAAAATAGATAATTAAATGATTTTACCAAAATTATTATTAACAAAGACATATATATGGTTATTGATTGTAAAAATAGTAGAAAAATGATAATAATTAATAAAGAGATTGTGATGAGTAAGTGATATAACCCTAATAATGATTTTTATATGATTTAGAGAGATAAAAAAAGTGAGACCTTGTGAGTCAATTTTCTTTTAAAATATGTCATATTTAGTTTAATTATAGTTATCATATCTTAATATTATATATAAATCATTATTTTAAGTCATTTTATTTAATTACAGTTTAAGATATAATACAACAAATTAAATTTCTGTAAATCAATGTGATAAAGTCACTTTCTACTTCTCATCATCTATCATAGGGTGTTAAGAAATTTAATGTTAGTCTCCTTTATTTTTTTAATTTCAGTATTCTTAAGCTTCAAATCATGTTTACAAAAAACCTTAATTAACAAATTAAATAGATTACAATATTCTTAAATTAGTCAAATTTCATCTTTAACCTGTTAAGGTTACATGCAAGATCTTAGTCCAAATTTGGTAAAATACTATAAAATTAGAGAAATAAAAACTTACTCTATTTAAGATTATGATAAAATGAAAATTATTCTTAAAAATACAATTATGTGTTTGGATTTAGAAAAAGATAAGAATTGAATAATAATATTTTAGAAAAAAATAATAGAATTTAAAATTTAGAGAGAGGATAGTTTACTATGTATGAAATTTGAGATTTTTTATTTAAATTATTTTTATTTTAAATTTAAAACTTTAAAGTACTAAAATCTTGATACTTATAAATGATAATTAATTATTAAAATCATCCTCTCCTTCAAAGAATTATAATAACATAATAAACATTAATATGATCACTATGAAAGATAATAATGTTAAATAAATAATAAACAAAGATTTCCAATTCCTCACTAATATTTGGTGTTTAACAGAAGTGATTTTAATCATACTTAGTTTAATTTTTTTAATATATTTTTGTCGTCTATTTTTTAGTTATGTAAATGATTAATAAAAAAATTGTTTTACTTGAGGAGTAATCTTTTAATAAAATAAATGAATTAATTTTAAGTATAAAAATCAACAAGTAAATTTTGTACATATAAAATATATATAAGCTCAAATATTACTAATTAAACAATATCTTGTTGCTGTTGTTGAATTTTTTAGCGTTGCATATATCCTTTATTAACCACATCATATATTATTTATTTATGATATTCTTATTTTAAGTAAATATATTATTTTCTAATTACTAAAAATAAATGTCAATTTTTATGTTTGCAATTCTTTTTGATTTTTTTTTAATTAAAGAGATAATGATGATTTGGTCTATTATATGACCATGTAAAGTCATATAAAGTCTTATAAAATCATTTGTTTTCAACTTTGTTAGAATTAATTTAAAATGATTAGATGTGGTGAGGTTAGTACTTATACCCAAATAAGGACAATTAGGAATATAATAAATTTAAAAATTATACTTTTTTAAATAATAAAAAAATCATTAAAAAAATGCTTGAAGACTAAATTAAACATTTTTTCGAAATTTAAAAGAAAAATACAATAAATAAATAAATATGAACTTTCTAATTTTATTTTGAAAGAAATAAAGACTTAAAAGGTAAGTTTATTAATCTATTTTATAACTAAAAATTATTTTTAAATAAAAATATATTATTTTATTAATATATATATATATATATACATAATTTGATAAAAAATTAGTAAATATTTAACATTAATTTATTTTATAATTTAACAATTAAGATAAATTATTATTTTAAATAATTGAATTGATGATAATAAAAATAAATATTTTAACTCTTATTTTTTAAATGAATAGATTTATTATGTTGTAATTTATATATTGAATTATAATATTTAAAATAAAAATAATTTTATTAATTATATAACTTAAATTTTAAAAATAAATTTTTATTTTTATTTAAAAGTATTTTAAAAAATAAATATGATTCAATCATTATTTAAAGACTTTTTATGTACTCATTCAACCATTCACAAGTAAAATATGACCTTTCTTTTTATAAGAATGACATAAAAAAACTTTAATTAATTATAATGATGCAATTTTCTTTGGATTGTGTCTAATTTTTTATTTAATATTTTAATAAATATGCATTGTTAATGTGAATTTGACATATTTTATATCATCAATTTATTCACAACTATGTCAATTTCACCCTTGAAATACTTATTATATATATTTAAAAAAATGCTTTATATGACACCAAAACACGTGACATGATTCTTGGATAAAATAGATCCCAATAAAAATAAATATTTTATTATAAATTTTATATATAAAATATTTAAAAATTAGTTAAATTATTTATATAAATAATTTTTTTAAATTTGAAACTATTTATATATAAGACTATAATAAAATACTTAGTTTTATTTTTAAATAACTCTAGCAAAATATGTTAAAATCAAGTTTTTTTTAACAAAGGTGTTACGTTTTGTGCTATTATCTTATTAAATCATGTGTTCAAGTTATTTTTAATTTGTGTTTCAAAAAGTTTTAAATTTTATTTCACTACCTTCTAAAATTAATATGATATTTCAATGATAAAAACACATTTTTGAAACTATATTTTAAACACATCTTTCTTATAATTTTAAAAGTTACATTAAATTTTGAGACTCATTTAAAAATATTAGTAAAAAGAAATAAACTATAAATGTAATACTAAGTGAAGTCAAAGAAAGTTTACATCTCTAACTATATTTAAAATAATGATAAAATATTTATTTCTTCTAACATTTGTAATTTTAAACTAACAAAATGTGAATAAGTTTGATATCATCTATTGCCTTACATATTAATATATTTTAAATATTTTAAATGAATTTTATTTTAAAGGAATTTTATTTTTAAATAAATATTTTAAATATACATCTGGAACATGTATAATATTAGTATAAGCTTAGGATGTATTCTTAAAAACTTAAGTGTTTTATCCAGAAAATAGTCAAATTAAAAAAAAAAAACTAGTAACGTTTATAATTAAATGAAAAAATCTTCAAAACTTTTAATGCATGTATATTTTTTCAATACAAATTTAACCGCTTATATTATTTATTCTTCTCTTGATTAAACAAGATGTTATAAAGAGCAAAACTTCTCTGAAAAAGTAAAAAAAAAAAATTATCTTAATTTGTAAAAACGGATTTTAATCATTATTCATTCACATTTTTGAAATAATAATAATAATAAATAATCTGCTGTCATCTCTGGCTCCTCCAAATTTCCTTGCACCAGAGGATTTGCAGTCTCTCTCTATTTATATATAATGTCTCTCCACATGTTAGCTACAAATTCCTTTTCCTTTCATTTAGATTAAGGAAGTGGAATAACCAAGAACAAGAGATATAAAAAAAGGAAAAGAAAAAAATAAAAAGCAAGAGAGAGAATAGATAGAGGAGGATGATGATGAGCACATCCTCTGTTTCCATTCCCAGTTTTCTTCCATCCCCTTCCTCCCATTGAAGCATTTTTCACATGCCCATGATTTTTCCACCGTCTCCATCCACACATGGTAAATTTTTCTCATCTGGGTCGCTCCAACTTTCACCGATCTCTCGTAAAGTTTTTGAATTTCCTTCTCTGATCCAGTTCCTTGTTCTTTTTCCTTGGTGGGGCGGTGAGATTAGATTTTTTGGTTCGGTTTTTGATTGATGCTCGGAAGATCCGATGCTCCTAGATCGAATTTGACAAAACCCACTTCGTCTCTGATCGAAGCAACAACTGGGTTCTGTCTGAATTTTGAGATAAGGTATGCTTTTTCTTCTCATCTGCATTTCTGATCGGTTTTTGCTTTGGTGGAAAGGTTGGATTTATCTGTTAATATGGAAAATTGTGCGTTTAGATTGCTTCCTTGGCTTGAATTTTGGCCATCATTGAGTGATTTGGATATGGATTATTGAATTTTGAGTCTTTTGTTCTTTGGTGTTGCTTGAGATGGGAATTTTGACTCAGAATGTGTTTTTGTTTTGAATTTTGTCCAATCTCAATATTGGAAATTTGGAATCAGTGATTGATTGTTAACTAGTCATGGTTGGTGTTGGAGCAGATGGAATCGGATCTTGGCAAGCTCTTCATTGGGGGAATATCTTGGGACACTGACGAGGAACGGCTTAAGGAATATTTTGGGAAATATGGGGAGGTGATAGAGGCTGTGATCATGAGGGATCGCGTAACAGGACGTGCTCGCGGCTTTGGTTTTGTTGTCTTTGCTGATCCTTCTGTTGCAGAAAGAGTAATCATGGATAAACACATAATTGATGGGCGCACAGTGAGTTGTTTCTTTGTAGATATACTTGGCATTGTGTCAATACTTTGTGCTTAGCTGTCCTTTAATGGAATCTAGCTAAATTTGTATTCATAAAGGAGATCATTGTCGTCTATGTTTAAATTTTCTACTTCGTTGATGATTAAAAAATCATTTTCTCCTTTGGCTATATTGTCTTTCGTATGTACATTGGATCAAACTGGACCCTTTTTTAGATAATAAATTAAGAAAGTGAAAATGGCTTGCTGATTTTGATCTGTGTGCTGTTCTCTTGAATTTCAGGTTGAAGCAAAGAAAGCTGTTCCAAGGGATGATCAGCTCAATATAAATAGGCAGTCTGGTAGTGCGCATGCATCTCCTGTTCCTGGACGCACGAAAAAAATCTTTGTTGGAGGTTTACCATCAACAATCACTGAAAGTGATTTTAAGAAGTATTTTGATCAGTTTGGTACAATTACAGATGTTGTAGTTATGTATGATCATAATACGCAGAGGCCAAGAGGTTTTGGCTTCATTACCTATGATTCTGAAGAAGCAGTGGATAGAGTTCTTTATAAAACTTTTCATGAACTCAATGGTAAGATGGTTGAAGTCAAGAGGGCAGTTCCGAAAGAGCTTTCCCCTGGTCCCAGCCGAAGCCCGTTGATAGGATATAATTATGGTTTGAATAGGGCCAGTAGCTATCTAAACAGTTATGCTCAGGGTTATAGTATGAGTCCAATAGGAGGATATGGAGTCAGGATGGACGGTAGGTTTAGTCCTCTTCCCGGTGGTAGAAGTGGATTTACTCCCTTTGGCAACACTGGTTATGGAATGGGAGTGAATTTGGATTCAGGATTGAGCCCAAGCTTTGGAGGGACTTCCAATTATGGGAGCAATTTAGGATATGGTCGACTATTTAATCCTTTCTACAGTGGCAATTCTGGCAGATATACCACTCCTATAGGCTACAGTGGGGGTAATGGGAGAAGTGATTCTCTTATGAACTCGCCTTCTCGGAATTTATGGGGAAATGGGGGCCTCAATAATGCAAGTAATCCTGTCAGCCCTAGCCCTTTCCTAGGATCTGGAAGTGGAGCTTTTGGTGTTTCAATTGGAAATAGTGGCACAGGCTGGGGTCCATCCATTCCAGCCCAGGGTGGGGGTGCTGCTTCTGGCTATGGTACTGGGAATAATGTTTATGAAAGTGGAGATAGCAGCTTTGGTCTAGGTGGGGCAGGGTATGGGAGAAACAGCAGTTCTGGTGTGACTCCATCCTCTACATTTAATGTGTCAACTGGCGGTTATGACGGATCCTACGGGGACTTATACCGCGCTGGCAGTGGTTCGGTCTACAACGACTCTGCTTGGCGTTCTGCTGTGTCTGATATTGATGGTTCTGGCTCATTTGGTTATGGTCTTGGTGGTATAGCTTCAGATGACCCAGTAAAGAGTTCTGAGGGTTATATTGGAAACTACAATGTTACTAGTAGACAACCTAATAGAGGTAAGACTTTAAGCTACATTCTTGCTTCCAAAAGAAAGTCAGAGTATTGGTTATGATTTTTTTTGCTTTTGATTTCCAATTATGTGTTTCCATACTCGAGAAGATGAATTTTTCCGAAGGAGTTTGAAAGGAAATATTTGTTACTCATTTTCATTTACACCCGTCTTTAAGACATCATGGTCGCTTTGTTAGTATCTTCTTTTAGTTATGCTGAATACTTCTTGGTTTCTGACTTTTGTTATGCATGTCTTCTAATTTTATATCTTCAGATTCTTGAGCGTTCTCACAAGTGTTTACTGCAATCCAAGTAGAATTATTCCTTGCAACTTCCTGTACTTATGCGTAGGTTTCGTTATTATTTCCATTTAAATTTATTGGAATTTGATTCTATTTGTAAGTTATATTGGGTAAATTTGGACAAAAAATTCATAAACACTTATACAAGAAGTATAAAACAAAAAGTATCAAACATCTTTCATAAGTTAAAATCAACTTCTGCATCCTAAATTTTGGGGAATTTAGTGAGATAGCTACTATACTTTTTTTTCTTCTCCTATAAGTACTTATTAAGAAATTTATCAAAATGGACCAGTATATTAACTTGAAAGATGCTTAAGGACTTATCTATCAAGTTATATGAGAGAAGTTTCATTTTGCCTTCTTATTTTCTTTTTCTTTGAGGACTTATTAAGATGTCTATCCAAACCGGATATTAACTTGAAAGATGCTTAAATGTGAATAAAGAGCACACTCAAAGCTTCTATAAAAGTCAAAGTGCATAAATTAATTTTAACTTATGGAAGAAGTTCCATTTACTTTCTTATTTTCTTCTTCTATAAGTATTCATTGAGGGTTTATCCAAAAGAGACCATTATACTAACTTGAAAGATGCTTACATGTGGATAGAGACCACACTCGATTAAGTTGAATGTCGATGGTTTCATTTCTGTGTTACTTATACTTATTCTGTTGAAGTAGTTCAATTTATAATGATCAAAGACCAAAAAATCAAAAGTTTGTCCATTAATGTTATCAAATGGTTGACTGTTTAGTATGTTCTTTACATATTTATGATGGTTTTTTTCAGGAATCGCTGCCTAGGAGATAGTTGGATTTGTCATGGTAGCAGTAGATGAAGGAAAACTTGTTAAAGATTAATGAGGTATTGTGAATTCATACATCTCCATCAGCTAAGAGATACAGCTCATAAGGAAACGTCATATATAGCTAACGGTGTTCTTTCTTATTTCATTTGAAGTATACATATGCAAAGACAAAGCAGTTTACAAGTGATTTTGTGTAAGGCTTGTGTTTTTCTCTTTCATCTTTGTTTTGGTCCTCTTTTTCATTTTTCAAGACTTAGGTTCCTTTCTTGGAATTGGATTGAGGTGTAAAATCAGATTTGCGGGATATACTCAGGAAGATTTGTTCCATGATAGTGTAATAGTACATCTCCAGAGAGGCTTGTCGTGGTTAGTCGGTTCAATGATAGAGTATTAATTTTTGAATTTCTTCTTTCTTTTGCCACTGTAATGCCTGGCATGCAAAGGTGTTGGTTCAATGGTTCTTGTCACCATCTTTCTTTTTTTTTTCTCTTTTTCTTATGGTATATGTAACTCTGATCAAATTGTAAGTGAGGTTCAGTTTGATTTATCAAGTGTGAAACATGAGTGGGATGCCTATGTAGGATCCCCATCAAATAATCAAGTTTCTGAACGGTTTTATTAGATTTTCTTGCACTTTCGGAACAGTTTTATTACTCTTTGTTACACTTTTGTTATACAACTTTGCATTTGGTCTATTATTGAAGTGCTCTTGATTTTCAAGATTGGTCAATTCTTGCCTATGATGTGCTGTTGTGGCAACTGTTTGATGAAAATAACATAAATGTAGTTGAATTCCTAACAATTCTAATTGGTTGCATGCAACTAGTGGGTATGCATGACTCAATGTAGAAACTTTTATGCTTATATAATTGTTTATTTTTGTGTAGCTTGTGCTTATCAGTGTCAACTTTTATGGCTATTTATCACTCTGCTTGTTACTTTCATGGGATTCCATCGTAATAAGAATTCATATTTGGATCTTCAAATGAAACTTGCTTGTGGCCATAAATGGATTAGGATTTGTCTTAAAGCTTTTATCTTCAATTTAATTTGGACATCTTTATCACAACTTATACATAACAATGTCACTTTTTTGTGGAGTTGGGGTCTACTTGTTCTTGATTAAATACACACAAATATTTCCATTCTCAAAATCTCAAATCATGTTTATTGTTTTCTTGAAAAGTGGCGTTATCAAAACTTCTTTTCTCAAGACATGTTTTAGGGTTGATAACTTTCCCAAAAGAAGAATGAGAAGAGATAAAATTTAGGTAAATAATAGTTTTTGTTGGGATTGATTGAAACAAAAAATAATCTTTTTTTTCTTTCAACGGAGATAAAGAAATTATTTGAAACTTCAAAGGTAGAAACTTGTTAGGTTTAAAAACAAAACTTTGTTAGAAGAAAGTTGAAAGGCAAATAAAGGTGAAAGAGCTTTTGTATATAAATTTGTGCTTTATTTATTCGTTCTTAAGTCTCGTCCACAATCTTGATTAGAACTAATTCTCGGTTTTATTCTAATTCTAGTAATACTATTTAATTATACAATGCTTACTATGCCACACTCTTATTCAATTGGGATGGGACCATATCAACATCACAAGTTGAGAGAACATAAGATACCCAAAATTAATTAAATAAATCAAATTTAAACTTCTCTCACTACTTATATTTGTGGTTCCAATAATTCTCTCTTGGGTAAATATCTTAGCAATGAGATTGCGGATAGGGATGCCTTTGATTATGGCTCTTTGACAAACTCTTAAAATTATTTTTTAATGGTTACACCCTTTTCATGCTTTGTGTAACTAATTCCATTTATTTTTCTTTTACTAAATGTGGAACTATTTGTTTACTTTTTATTAATGAATATGAATTTTAAATAATATTTTCTTAAATTTCAATTATAAAAAATCTTTTAGATATATATATTTTTTAAATATTATATGGTAAGTAGGAAATTTTTTATTTCCAAACATCTCTTATTTCTTAAAATTTTGAAATAAAAAATATATTTAATTATTTCTACTAAATTATAAAACAAAATTATCATATGAGAGAAGACAAACATTGTAACAATTATAATGATGACACAATAATAATTATATTCATAATTCTGAGCAATATTCAAATAGACATAGACATGATGGTGATTGATCATTCAGATAATACAAACGTTATAGATATGATGATGATTGGTCATTTAAATAATACAGACGTTACAGACATGATGATAATTGATCATTCATATAATACAAACATTATATACGTGATTATGATTGATCATTCAAATAATACAGATATTATAATACAGATATTATAGACATGATAGTGATTGATCATTCAAATAATACACACGTTACAAACATGATGATGATTGATCATTAAAATAATATAGACGTTACATACATAATGATGATTGATCATTCAAATAATACAGACCTTATAGACGTGATTATGATTCATCATTCAAATAATACAGACATTATAGATGTGATAGTGATTGATCATTCAAATAATACAGACTTTACAGACATGATGATGATTGATCATTCAAATAATACAAATGTTACAGACATGATGATGATTGATCTTTCATTATAGATATGATTATGATTTATCATTCAAATAATACAGACATTATAGATGTGATGGTGATTGATCATTCAAATAATACATAAGTTACAGATATGATGATGATTGATCATTCAAATAATACAGACATTATAGACATGATTATGATTGATCATTCAAATCAAATAATATAAACTTTATAGACGTGATAGTGATTGATCATTCAAATAATACAGACGTTACATATACGATGATGATTGATCATTCAAATAATACACACATTACAGACATGATGATGATTGATCATTCATTATAAATATGATTATGATTGATCATTCAAATAATATAGACATTATAGATGTGATAAACATTATAAACATGATAGTGATTGATCATTCAAGTAATACAGATGTTACAGACATGATGATGATTGATCATTCATTATAGATATGATTATGATTGATCATTCAAATAATACAGATATTATAGATATGATTATGATTGATCATTCAAATAATACAAATGTTACAGACATGATGATGATTGATTATTCAAATAATACACACATTATAAATATGATTATGATTGATCATTCAAATAATACAGACTTTACAGACATGATGATGATTGATCATTCAAATAATACAGATGTTACAGACATGATGATGATTGATCATTCATTATAGATATGATTATGATTTATCATTCAAATAATACAACATTATAGACGTGATGGTGATTGATCATTCAAATAATACATAAGTTACAGATATGATGATGATTGATCATTCAAATAATACAGACATTATAGACATGATTATGATTGATCATTCAAATCAAATAATATAAACTTTATAGACGTGATAGTGATTGATCATTCAAATAATACAGACATTACAGACGTGATGATGATTGATCATTCATTATAAATATGATTATGATTGATCATTCAAATAATATAGACATTATAGATGTGATAAACATTATAGACATGATAGTGATTGATCATTCAAGTAATACAGATGTTACAGACATGATGATGATTGATCATTCATTATAGATATGATTATGATTGATCATTCAAATAATACAGATATAATAGATATGATCATGATTGATCATTCAAATAATACAAATGTTACAGACATGATGATGATTGATTATTCAAATAATACACACATTATAAATATGATTATGATTGATCATTCAAATAATACAGACTTTACATACATGATGATGATTGATCATTCAAATAATACAGATGTTACAGACATGATGATGATTGATCATTCATTATAGATATGATTATGATTGATCATTCAAATAATACAGATATTATAGATATGATTATGATTGATCATTCAAATAATACAATT